TTTATTTGCATTGTTATATACGAATTCGCTTTACTTTTATTGTCTTTACCTGAGACACAACCGTTTAGTATTAATCTATTAATTTTTAGCCCACCAGCGGCCGAGCGGTAAAGTCGCTGAACACTGGTAGTTCGGTCCGAGGTTCGAATCCCGCGAACGGGCTGGCTGCATGGGTGTTCGTGGTTTTCCCCATGTGCAACGTGTATACGAGCCAGTTTTTCCCTTAGAAAGTCCTCCACAAAGGCATACCTCCTCTTAGGCAGATAGCCCTCGAGGCTTTGCCCTAATACACACACACACACACACACACTATTAATTTTTAGTAGCATAATACAGATATATATATATATCGTTATATTATGAATTACAGATATATATACATATGCATATATAAATATATGTACATGAATTTCATATGTCTGTTATGAATTTCAGATTAGCAAATATTGGTTTTAGCCCAATATATTTTTTTGAATTTCAATGTACATAATGTAAAGTTCTATGTTTTTTTTTTAAATTTTGGCACTATGTAATGTTTTATTCTTTTTTCCAAGTGTTTCGAAAATGTGTAGGGAAAATTCTGTGGTACATATGAGATTCGAGGTTTCGGTTTTATATGAAATTTAAAGTCTTTAATAAAAATTTGATGAAATCCTTTTACGGTTTTTGATCTCAAATGGACCAGGAGAACGAAACCTATTAATCGAGTTTTATGGAGCTTTAATTCATTTTCCCCTGATGAGTTCTGAATTTGAGTTTAAATAAGAGGAGATTAATTTCTATTTGTATAATTTTGTATATTTTTCCCTTTCGCATTTTTATTTCTCGAGAATGTTCTACTATGAATTCTTTCTTTAATTGGATTAGTTTTGATATTGTGTTAAACCTCTTATATACGGTTGCAATTATGATATTATAGAGGAATTACCTTGCTTTTATTCTAGTTTACTAATTAATTTAGATGCTTTAAGTTTGTTCTACGTTCAATCCTGCAGCTAAAGCGCAGGACGGGTTTAAAATAATTTTTTCTAATTTTTAATTCGAATTTTAGCCCATTTATATATTTCTTTATATATAATTTAAGAAAGGAGAACAAACTAAAATAGACCTTTGTGGTCAAGATTTCTATTCAAATGTTTAAAGCTTGTCTTAACTTTTATCAACATATTACTTCCAATTTGATTTGAGTTTTAAATTTGCTTATTATTTGTAAGTATTCTAGTGATAATTTCATTTATCTTGTATTTACACTTTTCATTGCACTTTATTTTAATTTGTGTTAAAAGTTTTCACTGGAACCACAGTATCACTACGACTTTTAAGCAAAAGTATGAAGAATTTTCTTTTTACCTTTATATATATATATATATATATATATATATATATATACTCGTATATATATATATATATAGAGAGAGAGAGAGAGAGAGATAGACTTACAATCATGCACATATGCAATAAGACCTTATAGTTTATTGAACGTGTTACTGAATTTCAGAAAATTTCTTTTATTTTATCTGACATACATAGCCGACAACTAATAATATATCTCCTTTGATTAAGTTCTAGGCTGAGTTATATCAAACTTAGATTTCTGTTAAATTAAAAGAAAGAAGTATTTCCACTTTTTATTTCCTAAATGAATGGAGTTTAACGATCATTTGCTATTTGAAAATCATTTATAACGCCATTAAAGTATTTCGAAGCACATTTCCATGCGGATCAGTTCTTTAGGTGTTCATGCAACTCGAAATAGGTTCGCAAACATTTTTAATCTTCATCTTGTATGTAATTAGTGATTGATCTCTGCAGAAACTGGCGATTAAATACAGATCAACCATTTTCGACTGACGCGTATTTAAAAGTCCAATTAGCGTTGAAGGAGCCTAACCTCTTAGATTTCGGAGAAATAAGGCTACAGCTTCTCGAGTTATCTTGTCATCTAACTCTGATTTATTTGTTGAGGAAGATTCTACGTTCAATTAATAACACCGGAACTGTTATTTTCAACAACTTTCAGCGAACTTTTGTAATTATACCAATGGGAAATTCATTTCATTGATGGAAAGTAGAAGACGCGAGTTGAAATGATTGCTGGATCAAGAAGCTGCAATTGCAATAAATCTGCTTTTCTGATCTTTTTTATGGTTCAGTTAACAGATACATAACGCGTCAGTAGCTATAAAATGTTGAACAAGAGTGCAGAAAGCAAGTGCAATTACCGGAAAGTGTTTTCCCTTCAACTTATTTTAAGGGTAAATTTCTGAAAATTACTTTACGTATATGTGTAATGTATTTTCTAACTTCTAAGAAGAAATTGTGAATGCATTAGTGTTTCTAATATTAGTCTAACAGATTAACGTTTCATTTGTTGTTGTTGTCTTGTTCATGCATTTTATGGAAGAATGGTTGCCAGAGTCTCAAGGAGGTTGGACTTCTATTTCCAACCCAATTTTAAGGAAGATCACCCCGGGGGAGGAGGTCCGAGGGTCTCCCACCCCTTTTCCCTACCACCAAACACCACAAGAGAACTTTCTGCTGGCTATATATTTAGAGTAACCGCATGCCGCAAAGACACTGTACGTTTAGAAATACCTATGCCTTCTCCGTGATTCAGACCCGGGCCTTTCAGTAATGCAGCAAGCTGCTCTAACCATTATACTGTCTGGGAGGAAACGTTTTAGTATTAGAAAAGTATTAGTGAAGATAGTAAAGTGACTAATTATAAGTCAAATACCTTTACCACACATATGCAAAAGTCAGATATAATAATAAAAGCAAATAATAACGAAACATTTTTAAATATAGTATAACTAGAGATTTTTATTTATTAACAAATAAAACTCAAGTCAATATTAACTAGCGATCCATAATTTTACAGTCGTTACGCATAATAATACTTTTTTAAAACAAGGGTTGAAGGTGCATACATGTACATAAGCTTATAACTAACTGTTTACTTGGATTTTCTACAAAATGCTCGTTCATTCAGTGAATATTGGAGCAGAGATATTGCAAAGTTGGTTCAAGACATAGAATCTTATAAACGCATGTTACTAAAGTCCATTATTTTAGAACAGGCATTTCAATGCCGTGCTTTGAAACCATGATCTGGCTTTGTAAGCATATTCTGGCATGCTTTGTAACCGTCTTCTGGCATCTTTGTAACCATGTTAACGACTGCTACAGAAGATAGTAAGACCTCTAATTTTCTAAAATCACCTTATTCCCTCTGTTCAGTGATGATGATCCACATTACAATCGTAAATGAGGTACTGGTCGCTGATTCATCATGCTTAAGTACTAGCAAATTAGAACTTGTTATAGTCCGATGTAATACAATCGATACATAAACAAACGTTTTCTTAATTTTCATTTAAACTTACCCTAAGTATTTAAATTCTGAATGATGGTAAAAGATGAAAATTAATTATTCAGAACCTGAATTTGAAGTAACATAACGAGGCAGATGGTTTAAAACTTGCAGGAGTAAGAGAAAAGAAAGTGAAAGAATATATACTCTAATGATCTTAAAGTTAACAAGTGTAAAACAGTATTTGTTAAAATTTTAATTCTAGTACATATCGCATTCTTTTAAATAGTTTGAAATATAGTATGTTATACTAATCTCTCTCAAATTATATTAAGTGAAATCCATGATTACCGAAAACGAAGCCAAAACAAATCTTAAATCCTCGTATCTTATTGAATGTAGTATAAAAAGTGAGAGAAGGTCAGAATAGATATAGAAACGTATGGTAGTAATTTAACAACTATCTATTATTAATTTGTTTCATACTAAGAATTATCAAGTTTCATAGGAATCTATGCAATTTAGTATCGAAATACGGGCTTAAAGAAATACTGAATGTATGTATTTGCTTCAACGAAATATAAACATCGAGAGAATTGTCAGCGTCAAAGTTTATAATAAAGTCAGGGTGCAGTAGGATTTTTGAGTGTCTCCCAACTTATATCCTAAAACAAGTGAGTAGAAACATGAAGAATTTTAAAACAAGAGACAGCTAAAATATTCCTGGAAAGGGAGATACAAAATGTTTCACCTCATTGTGTGAAACCGACAGAAAATAATAATTATATATGAAATTGTAATGCACTTCCAATCGAGTGAATCTTTTTATGGATACTTCATGTGGAAAATATTAGCAAAGTTCAGAGACTGATACTGAATTCGATCTTAAATACCAATCAATACGTGGATGCAAACGGACTCTGAGAAGCTGGAAATTAGGACACGTCTGGTATATACAGTTAAAACTTTATCGACGGTTGACAAAAATAGCACTGTAGACACTTCCATAATTTTCTATGCGCTATACGTGTGAAATGGAATTTTTATCATTCCTAGAAATTGCTTAAATGCACGTCATGTCTTATTCATAGTTCTTTCCAAGAAGAACTGTCGTACTGAACTACGAACTGAATTTTGTAATAATTAATTAACTAACATTTTCTCCATTTTCTCTGTATTCCATTTTTTCAATCTTAAATCTATCGTTTTAAGTTTGCCTCATAAAACCACATATTGAGTGTCCAGTACCATTCAGTAGTATGTCTGAAAGTTAAACGTTCTACGGAAGTTTCGTCCAAAACATAGCAAATGAGGAAAATACGTAACATTTTCTTTTGCGCATACTTGAGATAAAATCTCTCTAATCGACAATGTATCCGAAATCATTCGTTATTGCGAACATTCTAAGCATTCATTGATTTTTCCACATGAAAAACGATCATGGAGGCATTTAACGCCAACATCTTTGTTTTTCTTAATCACTAGTCATTTATTATTATTACAGTTCTAAGATACTCATTGCTGAACAACATAATTAATATAATCAGCGATAAATGACACAACTGTTCAGAAATAGTTGTTATAGAAAATAAAGTATCACATTTGAAAAAACTGAAAAACGTATATCTTGATCAAATATGCTTCATAGTTCTCTTCATTTTGCACTTATTAATTTTATCTCTTATAGGCGATCTGTTATCTACATCACCAGCAGAGGCTGCTCTTCATCGAAGCATTAGAGATATACCTTTACTGATCGGTAAGTTCATTTTCTAGTCTATCGTAAAATTTTCATTTGAATGGCTACTAGATTTCTTTAAATATTACTATCTTTGTTTAGAATACTCCATTTAACTGACAGCCAATGAAATTGTATACTCTGAGTTACAGAATTCACATGTGAGATCCTTTGACTGGAAGTTATAAAATTCTGCATAAAGGGACAAGCTTGTTCTCTGTAAAAATTAACAGATAACGACATTTAAAGGTTATATATTCTTCAAAATTGAGAATTTCAAAATAATTCCTATGTGTACTGAAAATGATAAATAATCTTTTCAATAGTTAGTGTTACTGTTCAAAAGCTTTTTCAGTAAAGTCTTATTTACGCATGGTACCCAGTAGCGGTAGCAGTTGAAACCTAGCTTAAATTTACTTGCAGCGAAATAAATTGTCTGACAGAATCGCTCTCGCCTTTCTGCTATAATAGTTCGCCAGCGACTGAGGGGTAAAGTCGCTGAACACTGGTAATTCGTTCCACGGTTCGAACTCGGTGAACGGGCTGTCTGTATGGGCGTGTTCGTGGTTTTCCGCATATGTAACGAGTGTACGATCCAGTTTCCCTTAGAAAGCCCTTCCCTTAGGCAAATAGCCCTCAAGTGCTTTGCCATAATCCGATAAACCAAACCAACCAACTTATTGCAATAATAACGCAACTGATAACCACTTTTGATAAGAAAGCATACCCCGAAGTCATTTTCCTTTAAGTAGAAAGTTCCTGTTCCTTTACTAATCTAAATTACTTGCTTACATACAAAGAGAGAGAGAGAGACACATAGACAAACACAATTATACAGATATATCAAATTTTAGTTTTAATAATGAAATCAAAAATTAAATCAGGAAACAATCTAGCAGTAAGTACACACATTAAAAACTGAAAAAAAAATCAATATAGAGTACATAATAGAATTAATATAAAAAATTAATATAAATGAAAATTCTTTAGTCTTATTCAAGGAGCACCCAAAGAATTTTCGATAGAGGCACGTTTCTGAATTATGTCTGGATGATTGTAAATTCTTGAAATAATTCAAAATAAGTAATTAAAAAGTGCAAAATGAAAATTAATTAAATAAAAATTATTAATTAAAAAAATTAAACATTTATAAGGATATTACTTAAATTAACCAGGTTGTATGATTTCGGTCTTTACTATAACTTCTCCTTTTCGTATTCTTCATTCGAATGCGAATGAGGATGCCAGCATTTAAACTGAGGTTTGGGGAGTTTTAAGACAGAGGATATTTTTGGCTTTGTGCGCACGCTACATATTTATTTCCTGCAGCCTCTGATAGTTGTAATTATTCGGTTTTGGGTTATACCGCTGCCGAGACTTTAATTTTGACATTCCGGTATAAATACTTAGCCAGCATCGAGTAATATGAAACTGTGTAGTTTTCGCCTACCGTACAACGTTTAACTTAAATTTGACTGTTCTGTTCAGGTACATCGCCACGAGTTGCGGCTGACGTTGTTAGCACAAGAAAGTGCGTTTATGTTTTAAATTCTATTTAAATAAAAAGGTTACTTAAAACCTTCCAACGACTTGTAGTTATTTCAGACATAACGATAAACCGCTTTACGTCTGTTGGGGTTACTAGACTAGTTAGGGTTACCAATTCCAGATGAAGTAAAACTCCACACATTTTTTTATTTGAATTAATCATCGAGATATAATATACTCTTACCGATTTTTTTACTGCAAAAATGAACATTGTAAGATTCTAGTTAAATTGACTGTCTTTGGCAAGTTCGCTGACTTCTAAAAAGGCTAGAGTAACAAGTCCTAAGAAGAGTTAAAATACCCTTTTATTTAACTCAAGAATATTTCCCGTTGGCTTCTCTCAGGTTTACAGCAAAACCTCCACTTGGGCTTAAGATAAAACTAAGAAACTGAACTAGTGGTAACTAACTAAGTCTAACCGAATCTGCATAGAAATATGTAACAGGGTAGGCCCTTCATTAAAACTCACCGGCGAATAATAACAGGCACGTAGTAACACAACCGAACGTAGTAAGATTTGGCTTAAACCAACGAAGTGGTCAAAAGACAGAACGTGCTCTACAAGCTCTTCTAAGAAGAAGTGACTGAAATTTTCCCTTTAAATACCAGTTCTACATCATTTACATAAAACGCGAACCTGAAAACTCATTCTGGTAAGGAATAGTAGGTGGGAAAGAAGAAAATGAAGGAAAGCTGTTCAAAATTAAAAAATAACTATTGGGAAATTAAAATAATCCTTACATTATAAAAATAATTCTCGATCAAAAAAGCATAATGCATGTATATATATGCATGCATATATATATATGCATGTATATATATATATATATATATATAATGAATGAATGAATGAAATGAATGCATATATATATATATATATATATATGCATTCATTTCATTCTGGATGAAAAATAAGTGAGCCGCATGAGTGCCGTCATGTTGTGAGTGGTCAGCATGTGAAACTGGCAACTGCTCTAATCCCAGCAGAGGCAGCTGTTGATTTCTTATGATTTCTGCAATAAAAGTACTGATAATATCTAAATATCCTATTTGGATTCTGCGAACAAGTAATGCAGTGTTGTTTAGCACCTTACATCATTTTATTAAAATTAATAGGTGATTAGAAAACTGGCTCAAACCATTTGTAATTTCAAATCAGACCATATAACTGGATTTAAAGAAACGAAAACATATCACTAGTAACACAGTAACGATAATAAATTTCCTTCTAAAATCATCTTTGAATTTAAGTTAAAGCAAATAAATTTGCTTTATTGTTCGTAATTCACAAATATAGAAGGAAACACAGTTAAGCGTCTCCATATGACGCTTTCTGATGCATTTGTAAGTAATGAAATATTTCTTGTAGAGCTGAAAAGTAGAGAATGGATACGAAATATGGATCTTGGCACCTCAATAATAGTCCTAGGTCTTAATTCTATCTCGAATAATACGTCTTATTCTAATTACAGTCTTACTTCATTACTTCTCTCACTTCGAATTGAAAGAAGTATCTAAAGAGAAATTCGTGTTTATGCCGTTAAATTATCTTTCAACTGCGCTGCATAAAATTACGTTGAATTGATTTATGAATGTCTGGGACACTCTGTCATTAACTCGCTGTGTTTAATTAATAGGTTTTACTTATGGAAGACGCGACTTGACAGGTTGGCAACTTAAATGATTTGCATTAAATTCAGGTTACATGTCTCGATTTCCGGGAGAGAGAGATTATATTGCTGGAATGTAAAATGCTATAAAGAAAAATGTTAAATTATCGAATGATTTAGAGATGACAGAGATTTGTAGCCATAATACATACTTTGATCATGTATAAAATAAGTCAGATGAGATATTTTATTTAATAATTAAAATATTCTACTACATTTTATAGGAGATGCTCTTTTTAAAATTAAGAAATGTGTGATGCATTAAAATTGCCAGAAGATCTGAGCATTAAATTTTAACTACAACCGGGTTGATTTATTCAGACAAATGCTAGGAGAATTTCTTTATAGGTTAATGTTTGTGGCTCAGCGGCAACTGCTTTGTTTGTAGGCTTCAACACAAAATTCCTGACTACTTAAGTACAAATTGAAATCTTAACAAGTTGTGGGCTATTTATTCCTTACCCTTTCATTTTCTTCCCGATAAGAATGGATAAGACTCAGATTTTATATCAAATTTTACAAATCTTCTAGTGATGAAAGATGTAAATGCTCAGTCTTGAATTGAGAAAGAAATACATGCAGTAAATCAACAATTCGAGAAAAGTGTCCTTTCGTCTCGAAGAAAGGAAGCAATATCCTGCCCCCTATATAATTTAACAACACTTTAGCAAACGTTAAAGATATTCTCTCAAATTTTCCAGACTTTAGTTCTGAAACGTTCTACTTAGAGGACACAGGAAAAAAAACCGAACAAATGCAGAAGGGAAGGAAATGTATAGTACCATGGAATTGTGTAGGAATAAACGTCCTGGAGTCCAGAATGGTAGAGTGTTGTCAACCGATATTTAGTTTATTCGATTCTACAAGTCTAGGTTAGGGTTTTCGGTTAGAGAAATTTCACAATCGATTAGAAAGGAATTTGGATTGGCAGTTGATTCTTTTTTTTAAAAAAGGTAAAGTGGATTTACTTTATCAAATTATGTTTTGAATTATATTACCATCGACATACTATTCATTTTTTATTGTTGTTGTTGTTGTTGTCTTATCCATGTATTTTTGTATAATTGTTGTCAGAACCTCAAGAAGTTGGACTTCTAATTCCTCCCCAATTTTGAGGAACAGCACACGGGGGGGGGAGGGGTCCAAGGGTCTCCCACCCCTCTCCCCTGCCACTAAACTACATGAGAGGACTTCGGCCGACGTCGCTTCGGCTCGCAATATATTTAGAATGCCTCCATGACAAAAAGACACTATACATTTGCAAACAACCATGTCTTCTCCGTGCTTCAAACACGGGCCCTTCTGTACCGCAGTAGGCTCCCTTAGCTACTATACCGTCTGGGAGAGATTCATTTTATATTAATAATCAAAAATAAATAACGTGAGAATAAACTCAGCAGAACACGTGTTTTACTTACTGCCAATATTTCTCGTTTGCTTTTTCATGCTCTTGAATCTTTAAATCATAACGAAACTCTTAAATTTCATTAATTTATTAAGAGACAATAGAAAGCAGATGCTCATTACAATATATATTTAGAGTGCCTCCATGCCGCAAATACACTATACATTTACACTATGTACACTATACATACATTTACACAATGTACACTTGTACATATGTGTAATGTGTACACTATACATTTGTATTAAAGGATATTTTCGGGTAAGCAAACTGTGTAAATTGTTATAAGAAGAAATGATCAACTTATTTGTTATTAGGAGCGATCTTTATTTAAAACATAACTCTCTTGATACTTGGCAGATTTGCGAAATTCAACGCTCTCAATCCTGCGAGTTTTC